CGTGTTTTCTTAACTTTGTAACCACGGGAACTCAGTTCTAATAACTGATTCAACGTCTGGGAATTCTAACATCTGGGGCAGTTTCAGGTAATTGGTTTTCTCCTTGTAATGGCTCTGTTTTCCTGCTGTGTGTGCCTGACAGCTTTTGACGGGGGGCAGGCACGTGAATCGGACCTTTCTGGTGACAGGTGTCTTTATATTCCTGTTCTGGGACCGTTATTTGGAAACACTTTGGTCCTTTTGGACCTTCCTTTTACAGTTTGTCAGGTGGGCCTGGAACAATTCCCAGGGCGTCCCGCCCCCTCCCCAGCCTGTGGATCTTGGGTTCCATCTGTCCCGGCTGCTCCCCTCCTGCCTCTTGGGTGGCTCTTCCTGGCCTCTGGCCTTGGGAAACTTGCTCTGCTGACCATCTGAGGGTGGCTGTCTGCCAGTTTCCCGAGCCCTCTCCCTGGGCAGCTCTGCCCTGTCTGACTCGCCTGCAGCCGGCAGCTGCCCTGGTCCCCAGCGCCGTCTCTCCGCTCCGGGCTCCCCGGGGCCCCTCCCTGCACTCCTCCTTCCCATGGCTACACTCTTTGTGGCCTGATGTCTGGGCCTTGAAAACCATTGTTGTGTGAAGTTTTGGTTGTTTCTTCCTTTTTTGTTATTCCAGGTGGCGAGTAGACCCAGTCCCTGTTAGCCCATTTGCATGGAAGTGGGATTTGACATATGTGGGTTTTTTTGGGTTTTGGTTTTTTTTGGCTGCATGTGGCTAAGCGTGTGGGATCTTGGTTCCCCAGTCAGGGATTGAACCCGTGCCCCCTGCACTGGAAGCACGGAGTCTTAACCACTGGACCGCCAGGGAAGTCCTGGAAGTAGAATTTGAAATGTCATGTTTTGCTTGATGTTCGAGGCGTTCAGTTTGGACCTCCGCTGTCCTTGGTGTTTCTGGGAAGCGTGACAGCCGACTCCCTGCGGGTGGCAGGTCTTGGGCGTGCGTGGGTGGGAGTCTTCCTTGCCTTCGATCTCGTGGGGACGGAGGGGCCTGCGCAGCTGCTGCTCTGGGAAGTTTGATTTTGGACGCGCAGTCCTCGGGGTTGTCGTTCCGAGACCGGCTCCGATGCTCCCGTGGGGTCCAGGCGCGAGGCCTGAGGCCCGTCCGGCCTCCCCCACTCTGCAGCTGCAGTTCACATTGCAGCCCTGCCTGCCCGGCGGGCGGTGAGGGGGAGGGGCCAGCGCAGGTGCTGGTCTAGGGGTCCTGGCCCCGGGGCTCAGGGAGGCACGTGTCCGTGGAAGACGCTGGTCTCCTTTGGCCTCTCAGCCTCTGATGTGCCGCACCCGTCCCGTGCTGGCTCTTCCCCCCAGGCCCAGAGCACCAGTCAGTGGGGAATACCACCGTCCATCTCCGGCCAGCCGCCTAGAGGCACCAAGGCAGCCTCGGCAGCAAACTGAGTGTGTGCCAGTGGCCGGGCTGCCATCGTGGGAGGCCAGCTCAGGGCCAGGGGATGACACCGCTGGGAGCAGCAGCCTTTCTGACCGCCGCCCCAGGACCCCGGTGGGGGAGGGGGTCTCGGGCAGCTGGTCGTGGCCACGCGGAAGGCAGGTGTCGGTGAGGCCCCCAGGTCCACGTGGCAGTCACCCGCACCCACGAGGGGTCATTGGTGGAGCTGCTGACCATCGCCCTGTGTGCAGGTACGTGCAGCACTATGGCCTGGGTGAGGCCTGCGACGACATCGCCAGTGTGCTAAAGCGTGTGGCCGTGAAGCTGAGGAAGACCCAGAAGGTGAAGGTGCTGACGGGCACTGGTGAGACCTGGTGGCCCCAGGCTGGGCTTGGGGGGCGGAGCTTCTGGGGGAGGGGCTCTTGGTCTGGGCTGGGGCTGGGGCAGGGTGTGTGGGGCGGCCCCACCCTCTTCCTGTGGCTTCTGGAGGCTCCAGCTTCCCAAATGTGCAGCGCAGGCGCCCACCTGAACGGGCCTGAGGTGGGTGGGCTAGAGCTCCCGAGTGGGGCTCCATCCTTACTGGGCCCTCCTGCTTTCCCCAGGTGACGTCAACGTTGTCCAGCCCAACTACCCTGCGGCCGCCCGAGACTTCCTGCGGGCCTTCCGCAGCGGGGTGCTGGGCCCCGTGATGCTGGACTGGGACCTCCTGCAGGGCCCCCCTGCGGCGGAGCCCTGACTAGTCCAGCAGGAGGGCCTCGCGGCTCCAAGGCCAGGGGTGGGCACCCGGGAGTCCCCTGTCCACAGGCTCCTTGCTGGTCACTGTATACTCCCCGGTCTCTGCTCTAGGAAGGAGGCCATGCCCTCCTGCTGCACAGCCCAGCCCCTGGTTACAGGGGACTGAGCCTGGGTGTGGACATCAGGGCAGTGGACGTCCCTGGGTTCCTGGCGGGGGGAGGAAACTCACTCATGTTCAGTATCTCCTAAATATTCTCTTGAGGAGAAGCTGGTGTTTTCTCAGAAGGAGTTGAAAGTGTAATCTGTAATTTTAAAATTAAAAGGCCTGTCTCTGTGGTTGGCCCTTTCGTTGTGCACCTGTGCAGCCCCTTGGGCCCCTCACCAAGGAAAAGCGGAACGTGAACCACTTCGTACCCAAGGCTCTTGTGTAAGAATCCCGACACGGAGTCCTGGGTCCTGCAATAAGAAACAGTCTCATTGGCAACAGAGTGTTTATTTCACTACTAAAACGTGCACACACACACGGACAAGAGGTCCCAAGTAGCCATGGCAGAACCCAAGGACCACCTGTCCCCTCGGTGGCCGGGGCCGCTCTGCTCACAGCCCAGCTGCACACAGGCCGGTGTGGTCAGCGGAGACCCTAGGCCTCCCCACCGCCTCCCAGCACCTTCCAGCTAATGAGACAGCAGGACTTTTTCCCGGAGGCGGTGCTCAGCATTGCTGTGGTCGCACCTGAAGGGGTGCAGGAACATGACCACCAGCTTGCATTCTGGAGAGGCCGGAGGGGGGAAGGGGTGGGGATTGGGTAGGCTGCACCTGGTCAGCAGCCCCGGCCCTTCCTGTAGGCGCCCCTCTAGGTCCTGCCGCCCCGTGTGGCTGCCCCACACCCAGCGCACCTGCCAAGTCTCCTGAGACACCCACCGGCCTCCTGCCGGAACCCTGACCCATAGGAGTGGGAAGCATTCAGAGACTCGCAGCTGTGCCAGACGCCAGATGCCGCTGGAGTCGGGCTGGTGTGCGGAAAAGCTTGACGAGTGTGCTGGCGGCTCACGCTGCAGAGGCACGTGAAGGTCTGGGCCAGCCACAGTCCAGGTCCGGGTGGGTCTCTGAGGCTGAGCACAGCCTGGCCGGGCCCATCAGGGAGAACAGTCAACCGAGGGGCCGCCCTGATGGGTCCCCCTGTTCAAGATTTTAAAACGGTCACGCTGCCTCTGAGGCCCCAGCCAGGGCTTGGCCACGACCTGTTGGTCTTTGGGAGCGTCGAGCTTGGTTCGGGAGGACAGAGCGCATCTGGGCGCCGCACCCAAGAATGCTGGCAGTGTGGACACAGGAGGCTGCAGGGAGCTGCGTCCTGCAGCGGAGCGCCTGGGTCTTCGGAGGAAAGTGCTTGGTCCAGGTCCCGCGGATAATCTGGAGACCTTCAGTGTAACCAGAGCCGAGTGCCAGCTGTGGGAGAGCAGAGGTGGCACGGCTCCTGGGAGATGCTGGTCTTGGCACTGGCGTCCATCAGCTGAGTCCAAAGGCCCTGCAGCCCAGGGGCAGGCGAGGGCAGATTCTGGAGGCAGCCCTGCCGGGGAGGCTCCTGCTGAGCACAGGAGAGCCTGAGCCGGAAGCCAGACCCCGGAGCCGTCCTTCTGAGGGACAAGAGGCTATTCAAGCCACAGGACATGTGAAAGAGCTGGGGCCCCAGGCTGAGCTCATGGCCCGTGGACCAGGCTGGCGGCTTGAGGGAAAGGCACCTGAGAGGTGAAGGGCTGGCCTTCCGCGCAGGTGTTGAGTGCCAGCCGCAAACCCTTGTCAGGACGCGCCCTGTGGTTTCTTCAGAGGCCGCTCTGGCCTCGCTCTGACAGCCCTCGGGGTGTGGAGGAAGCTCAGCTTCTGGGCTTTCTTCTGCTGGACAGGTGCCCTCACATCTGGTGGCACTTGCTGGGCACTGGGCCCTGCCTTGTGGCCATGCCGGCCGTGGGTCTGACTGGAGCCCCGGCCCCTCCGGTCCACCTCGCCCTCAGCTTCCGAGGGGCTGCCTGCCACAGCTGCCGTCCCCGAGTACAGGCGGGGCTCTTATCCTGGAACGTGGACCTGGAGCTCAGAGCAAATGGAAAACTCTTGAAGTTTAAACAGATTTTCTTTTTCTTCCAAAATAGGTCCAAGAAGAGCTGTTTCAAGTCAGAGCAAAGTGGCTTTAAGGGAGCCCCTGGCGACGGGTCTCACAAAGCGTCTGCCCGTGGGGGGACACGGGCACGGGCCCTGGGCCCAAGGGCAGGGGCAAGGCGTGGGCAGTTCCTGTGGGCGAGGGTATCCTGGGAGCCGTCTGGAGAACCACGGGGCCACGTCTGGGCTCACTAATCCACAGATGTGGCCCCCTTCCTTTCTGGAAGGCAGCACACTACAGCCTGCGAGGGAAACCTCTCCTCTCCCCCAAATCCTCAAGTCCTTTGGCCCACTGGGGCTGTTTCTGGGGGGGATGCCACCACGTCCTCAGGGTGTGGCCGAACCAGCCCAGCCTGAGGGCCCACCTCTCTGCCTGGTGGTCAGCACCGTCCACACCTCTCAAGTGTCCAGGTGGGGTCAGGGGAGCTAGAGTGGCCTGAACAGCTTGTAGAGTGGGGCAGCTGGCCAGGATGGTGCAGGAACCTCAGGACACCTGCCTTTCTGGCTGGGGGGGTACCCTAACCTCCAAGTGGCAGGCAGGGCATCCTGGAGCTGAGGGGCCACTGGTCCCCTGGTAGGGTGGGAGGTGCGGAGGCTGGGGAGGGGATCGGGCAGGAGGGGGAACAGGAGGTGCCTCTGGGTCATAGGAGGAGAGGCTGCTGGACTGTCGGGAGTTGGCCACGCAGCTCCTCTGGGCTCAGAGGCCTTGGGCAGTGGAGGCAAGGGGCGCTCAGTGCTGGGCAGCCTCTGTGGTGGCTCGCGGGGCAGGCGCGGGCTGGGGGCAGATCTGGCCCCCGAGCCCAGCCCGGCCTAGGTCCGCAGCAGCCCCAGGGCGCCCAGGGCACCGCCCAGCAGCAGGCAGAGGTGAGGGTCGCCCATGGGCCCCGCGCCCGAAGTCCACGCCCGGTAGCTGTAGACGCTTCGGTTCGTTCCGTTGCCGCCGGGTGCGCCGTCCTCGTCGTCGTCTGGGCCATGCTCCCCGGGCCCCGCGGCCCTCCTCCAGCTCGAGCCCGCCGCCAGGCCCGCGGCTGCCCCCGCCGCTGCCCCCGCCGCCGCTCCCGCGGCCACGCGCAGCGAGGAGCCGGCGTAGCGGGGCGCAGGCCTCACGCGCACCCTCGAGGCCCCGCGCGCGCCCCCGCGCAGCCCGCCCCGGGCGCTGCCGCGAGCCCCGCCACGGCCGCCCTTGGCCGCGCCGCTGTCGCAGAGGAAGGTGGCCGCTAGCAGCAGAGCCCAGCACGCGGCGGCAGTCCAGTTCATCTTCGTGGAGCAAAACCTGCGGGAGGATGGAGGAAGGGACCTCAGCTTCTGCGAGGCCCAGGGCGCCCGGGGCCTGGGGACAGGGGCTCAGCATTTGGTGGTACATGGGGCCCCAGCACCTTGGAGCACTACCGGACCAGGCTGGCGTGGGCTAAGAGGAGGAGGTTGTAATGCCTGAGGATTAGGGACTCAGGCTTGGGGAGGGCGTGGGCTCTTGTTCAGTAACTGGGAAGGGGCGGCAGGGGGTGAGAGGGTTCAGCACCTGCGGGTTATTCTGTGCTTGGGGGGGTGGTGGTGGAGTAGGGGCAAAGAATGGGCGGTGGTGAGCACCCTCCCGTGGACGGGGGGCGCTCAGGCCTGGGGAGGGGGCCCCGTATTCTGGGCTGCTCTGGAAGGACCGACTCCGGTCTCCAGGGCTCGGCAGGACCAGAGGCCACCCTGGGGTCTCAGGGACCGAGGGTCCCCAAGGAACCAGATCGGGGTCTGGAGAAGGGACCAACGGTGAGACTCGACCCGGCCCTCCCACCCCTTCCGGGGCTGCGCGGGGCCAGAGCCGGTTCGGGCCTCGCGGGCTCGTCACCCTGTGCGGACCCCGCCCCGCCGCCGCAGGCCCGGGCCCAGCTTAGGGTCGCCTCCCGCCCGCTTCTGCCTCGCGCTCCCCCCCCCCCCGCCCCCACCGCCTGGCTCAGCTGCTGGGCCGGGGGACCGGGATGCGACCACCTGCCGGAGGCTCCACCCTCCGCCCGGGCCCTGTCGGCCCCTCGCTGCGTCTTCATTTCTAGCCCGGCGGGCGCCAGCCCCAGCCTCCCGGTGCGCGCCCACATTCCGCCGCCCGGCCTTACCAGCCACGGGCCTCGCTCGGAACCGCGGCGGCCGCTCCAGGGACCGCTGCCGAGCGGGAAGGACGGAGCTGCGGCGGAGACTGCACGGAGCGCCGAGCGCCGACCGCCAAAGCGCCGACCGCGGAGCCTGGCTTTTGCGTGAGGCATCCGCCCTAGGCTTGGGGGTGGGCAGACGCGGAGGCGCATCCCCCGGGAGACGGAAGGGAGGAGATAAAGGCAGGCGCTCCGAGGCGCAGCACCCCGTCCTAGCGGGCCCCCCCCCCCCCCCCCCCCCCCGGGTCCTGTCTCTCGACAGGACCCTCTCCCCCGCTGTCTTCAGCACCCGGTGCGCACACCGCCACCTTCCCACAGTCCATCCCACTCCACCCGCCCCAAACCCTAACCTCTCCCACCCCACCCTCTCCCGTTCCTCATTTCCATCCTTCCCGGGGTGGGTGTGTCCCAGACACAGGGACCACAGAATGCGACGTCGGACCCTGAGCTCCTGACCGCGGTGCACAGAGAGGGGAGGACGGCTCTCCAGGGCCCCATGGTGTCCGAGTCCCAGAGCAGCACCCCCTCGTGGGCCCCCCTCCTCCCGCCCTTTAGTGCCCACTGTTCAGGCTCCTCCGGGGGTCCTCAGGTAGCCCCGCCACCGGTAACCCGACTGCTCCAGCCAGCGGGCCTCCCCGGTCCCGGCCGGATTGGACTCTGGGGCCACGTCTGAAATGGTGCTGTCTTGCTTCCCAAGGTTGGTTTGTCCTCTGGAATCTCTTCCCCTCCACCCACTGACTCTAGGCCTTCACCCCAGCCACTCCACCTGGGGACACCAGGCTCTCTTGATGGTGTCGGAGGTGGGCACAGGGACCTCCTGAACTTCAGAGGGTTGTTATGTGATTCGATCTCTCAGCTTCCATCAGACCCTCGTGGTCCCTGGAGGCTCAGCACCGCTGCTCCACACGTTCTCCTGGGCAATCTCAGGGCCTGTGGGTTTCAAATGCCACCTGGGCCAGAGGGGCAGCGGCCAAGTAGAGAGCCTCCCGCCCAGCCTCAGGGACTGGGCTGCTGTGGTGATGGATGGCAGGAGGGGTGGGGACAGAAATGGGGGTTCGTCCAAGGTTTGCATTCTCTGGTTGAGCCCCCCCACCCCCGGTCCCACGCACAGAACGGCCCCCAGCGTGTTGCTCACCCCAAGGAAACAAGGGCGTTTCTCTGACGGTATCAGGAAGCACCTGGAAGCCCCGGCGCGGTGTGGGGCCTGCTGGGGACAGCTGCCACTTTGGCCTCTCAGCGTCCTTTCCCTGTTCCGGTCAAAGCATCCTTGTGTGTGCCCTGGGGAGCCAGCCCTCTCTTATGTTCGGCCCATGGGGGTCTGACTGTGACTGCCCCCTCCCCTGGTCTTGTGAGGGGATGTGGCATGCCCTGTGGCTCTTCCTGGCCACGTGGACCTGCTTCCCAGTGTAAGGCCCCTGGCCATGGTCTGAGCTGCTGAGAGAGGCCGCTCTCCTTCCGCGGGAGGCTGTGCCTGGAGCCGTTGCATGCGAGGACCTGTCACCCTCGTGGAGCCTTCACATGGAGCCCGAGGGCAAGTGAGTCGGGCCCTGTGCCCCCTCGACCTCCCGGGTCAGGCAGCGCCACAGCTGACGCCGTGGACCTTCTCTGGATGAGTGCTTTCCGTCACCTGCACTTAGAGGGTCCCCAGCCCGATGGCCCGTCCCTGCCCCCTCATTCTCAAGGGTCCTGCCGAGCACAGGGAGCTTCCAGGTAGCCTTCCCACTGCTTTGCTTTAAAGTGTGAACAGCAAACAGCGTTTATCAGGCATCCAAAGACAGAAAGTCTGCAACACAACAGAGAAAGGCCAAGGTAAAGAAATGGGGTGGAAAAAAAAGGCTCAAGAAGTTTGAGGAATTAGAAGAAAACCTAAGAAACAAACAAAAAATATTCCAACTCATAGGCTCAGAAAAGCTGGGGGGATACTATTTATATAAGAACAGGATGCTGTGACAAAGGTCGCGGCTAAGAACGAACCTCTGAGAAACAACCAGGAGAATTGAATTATAAAGGTAAGGAATTTCTCTGCATGAGCAGCAAACGATAGCAAATATGAGAGGAAGGGCACGGTTTTGGGCTCTGAGTCTGACAGATAGTTGTTCGGAGGAGAGAGAAGAACCAGGGGCACCACGTAGGAGGAGCCACGGGCTGAGGCTTATTAACCCTTTTCGAGACCCTAAACCTTTTCTCTTAAAATATGTAAGGGAAGCACAGAAAAAAATTTAGACTATTTTATGTTTAAATATCAACATGAAAAATCTAAATAAAATGTTAGCCACTGAGCCCAAGAGTACATCGGAAGCAGGTCGCACCACTCAGGTCCAGGTGCTTTCAACATCGTCAAGTATGCGGACGTGCTTCACTCACTGCTGCACCAAGGGAGAAGAACGCTCATGATTTTCTCAGAAGGAGAATACAAAGCATTTCATTTCTTAATTTTTGTTTGTTTGTTTTTTGGGGCGTTTTTTGCATGTGAAAATGTATTACTATCGTGCCGTCACCATCAAAACTTACGATATTGGTCCTTTCTTCTAACCTTTGCGTTAAGGCCAAAAGAGAGACATTGGCTACTTTGACAACCTACAAGACGACTCCAGGAATGTCACCAACAGCATGACCTTTGCGACCAAATCCAGCAACCAGAACTTCATCATTTTCCTCCGTAAAGTTCAAACAACCATCACTGGGTGCAAAGGCTGGGACTTGGGGGCCATCCCTCATTAACTGAAGCCTGACACACTTCCCTACGGCAGGATTTGGCTGTTTGGCTCCAACCCCTACTGTTCTGAGCACAGCTCCCTTTGCGTGAGAAGCGCCTCCGTAAGGGCTGGCCCTCTGGGCTCTGCTTTCTTGTACCGTTTATCAGGCCACTTCTGGTCTTGTCAGTGGCTACGGAGCTTCCTGGCAGGATGAAGACATGCCATGGGCCTGAGCAGAAGAGAGCCATTTCTTAATTTTTAAATGTTATTTTTTAAATTGAAATACACATGACATGTAACATGTTGTAAATGTAAGGTGTCCAACATGTTGATTTGGTGCATTTGCATATTGCCATACGATCGCCATTGTCAAGCGTTTGATTTCCATCAACACTCATTGGTGGGGAAAAATGCCAAGAAAACTAGTCGTTGAAATGAATTTTTTAACTCGATTAAGGCTGTATTTCAAAAAAACCCTCAGCAGACATCATACTTAGTGGAGAGCCTTTAAATGTGTTCCCTTAAAAAATATGAACAAGAAAAGCTTCCTACTCTCACCATTTCTGTCGATCAGAGTAAAGTCCGGCCTGAGACCAGGAGACAGCCATGCACTGGAGAAGCCACAGGCTCTGCAGTTCGACTGCTTACCACCCCCCGCAGCTGGGGAGCCAACGACCAGGCAGAGCTGACAAAGCCTGCATTCTCCTGTGGTGCTTACTGGCTAGAGCTAGACAGCAGCTGTCCCTACGGACCGGATGTGCCCTTTCCAACTCACCCCAGTCCCCTCATCCCTGATTATACCCCCAGCTCGAGACTGGGCAGCAGCTGCCTCGGATCGGTTATGTTATACGAAGGAAAGGATGGAAGATGTGCCCGGAAACAATGTGATGTTCTGCGTGGTCCACTGATGTCTTGCGCTTTGCCCTGCAGGCACCTGAGTTCGCAGACATCTTAAACACATAGAGCATTCTCAGATATCTCTCCCATCACATGCCGTGCCTCTCCAGGATACACTGTGCCCCACTGTTAGCTGGGCAAGTCTAGAAAAGAACACTAAATCATAGAAGTTAATGGAGGAACAGACTGAGATCGACTCCTTCAGACCCTTCATTGTAAGAGGGGGTGGGAGTAAAATGAAAACTCTTAGTACTCTCACTCTGCTTTTAGGTCGGTGACACACACACAAAATCAATGAGAGAAGTCATAAAGGTACTTCAGGAGACCAAGACTGGGCCAGTCTGAACAGGGGGTCACAAAACACATTAGCCCCCTTCCTTGACTGTTTAGAAAATGAGTTGAGTTCTTAGAGAGAAAGCCACGGGGGTGAGGAGGAAAATGCAGGGGCCAGCCCAGTAGACGTCCTGGGCTGTCAAAAACCACCAGGCTCATCCTCGCTTCGGTTAGGGCTGCTGGCCCACGCCTAACGATTTTGTAGGTGGCATAAAATGACTTTCAGCGGGGGAGTGTCATCATTGTAGAAAGGACAGAGAGTAGAATCTGGCCTTGGCCAACGTAAGACAGAGGGAGAGGATGCCTTCCTCACACCCCTTCATTCTGCTGTGACAAGTGCCACCTTATTTGCCCTTTAGGGAGGCGGAGACTCTGACACAGCCCAGACGCTTCCCGTTGCTCAGGATGTTCTCCGACGGGTAGTTCCCGCTGCTGAGCCAGCTGGGCAACTGCAGGGCAGGCAGGAAGAAGTTAGACTTGGGCAGTGAGTAGGTGCCTTCTTTGAAGGGACAGTGACAGGGAAGCCCACAGGTGTGCAGGGGTTCTGGACAGGGATTCTCAAGGGGAGTTAACACTTCAAGCACATTACGGAAGTTCTCGTAGGCGCAGCTACCAAGTTGCTCCACGCCTGGGACTTTGACCCAAAAGCCAGCCACTTCGTTCTCCGGAGCTAATACCACTTTCAGAGGATCTTTGAGGCCCACAGTGGTCCTGACCCCAGCATTGATGGTCACGTTCCTGGGAATGACAATGGGGTCAGGTTCCACAGTCAGGCTGTTGACCACCGCAGGGTGCTTCCCCTCATCGCAGTTACCCCAGGAAACGCCACCGAGCCTGGAGAGCCTTCGAGAGGATGTGTGCAGGAGCTGCTGGGCCGGCGAGAAGCAAGCTCAGGGAGATGGGGAATGGGGCCTGCATCAGGGCGTTCATCACAGAGGGTGGGTCCTCACCGGGTTAACTACAAGTTCTGTGGAGGTGACAACGCCTTTAAATGCCTGCCCGTATTGGTTATGCAAAGCTGTGCGTTCCAACATACACGCACTTCTGAAACCAAAAGGAGAGGAAGGAAGAATAAGGCAGATGCAGTGTTTAAGGAGGTAATGGCTGATAACTTTCCAAGGCTGATGAGAGAAAGCAAGTCTCGAATTCTAGAAGCGTGACAAACTCCAAGCATGATAACTACACACGCACACACACACACAAGCATACCCTGGACACCAAACACAACAAGAAGATCTTGAAAGCTTCCAGGCGTGGGGGAAAGCCAGAGATTGACCAGGTCACAGGTGGTCGGGGGAGTGAAGGTGGAGGGGGACCTTCCCGGGAGCTCTGAGCTCGTCCTGGGCTGAGGAGCTGTCCCCTGATCGGGTGCTGAAGCTCCCTGTGAGAGGCAGCTGGAGCCTTCGGAGTTTCGGCAGCTCCCACTGTGCTCCCGTCTCAGGGTGAGGGGGGAAGAGAGGAGCTTGCTGGCTGCACTGGGAGAGAGCCATGGCCTGCCTGGTGTGGGCTGGTGGCTGTGAGCAGATGCCGGGGGACGGATTTGAAGTTCCTCCCCCTGCAGCTGGTGCTAGGAGGGACCAGGGGCCTGGTGGGGTTTGGCCAGGGCCTCGCTGATGTCGTGGTTCGGCAGGCAGTAGATGTTGGGGTTGAGCCGTGGGGTCACAACCAAGTAGACCCTGAACACCAGCTTGTTGAAGTCGAAGGAGCTGACGGCGTGAGGCCAGGCGTGCGTGAAGATGGTGGTGGTGTAGAAGATGGCCCCCAGCGCCAGGTGGGAAGCACAGGTGGAGAAGGCCTTGTGGTGGCCGGAGCCTCCTGGAATGCTCAGCACTGTGGCCACGATGTGGGCATAGGAGACCACGGTCACTGGCAGGAAGGTCGCGAGCACAGCCAGGGCTGCCACGAAGTCCAGCACTTCGATGGTGATGGTGCCGGAGCAGCAGAGCCGCAGCAGGGGTGAGATGTCACAGAAGAAGTGGTTGAGGACGTTGGGGCCACAGAGCCTGAGGCCGGAGGTGAGAGCCATGGACACAAAGGAGACCAGGAAGCCACCCAGCCAGGCGCTGAGGGCTAGACTCAGCAGAGCCTCGAGTCCGTGATGGCCGGCTAGCGCAGCAGGCGACAGATGGCCAGGAACCAGTCACAGGCCATGGTGGCCAGGAGGACGCACTCAGGGGAGCCAAGGCAGAGGAAGAGGAGCAGCTGGTGAGGCAGCCTGAGAAGGAGACGGTCCTCGCCGAGGCCAGGAGGGCAGCCCGCAGCTTGGGGACAGTGACCGAGGTGTAGAGGGTCTCCAGCACCGACAGGTTGGCCCAGAAGTAGGACACGGGTGTGTGCAGTGGCTGGCTGGCTCTGATGGTCACCACGATGGCCAGGTTCTCCAGGACAGTCACCATGTAGATCGTGAAGAATGACCCGAGCAGTGGCCCCTGAAGGTGGCACAGCCCAGGGAAGCCCAGCAGGATGACATCTGTCACCAAGGTCTCAGTGGAGTTGGTGGAGTTTCTCATAGCCCTCCCTGGCAGGGGGGTCACTTCTGAGTACCCTGGACAGCAGAAAGATGCAGGTGTGATGTGTGCTGGGCAGGGGGCCGGGCCGTGAGAGCTGCATGGGGCACTGTAACCCTTCTCAAAGCCGCTGCAGCACTGACCCCCTCTCAGCCCAGCACGCACCTCGCCCTGAGCTAACACCTGGCAAGGGGGCCTCGGTGCCTGCACACCGCTGCGCGCAGATACACCTCTTACCTCCACACTCATGTGGGTGCTCTCAGGTGCGTACTGTTCCCTGTCCCAGCACCAGGTACACGGACAGGCATGGGAGTGCGTGTGCCCGTGCACACACACACACACACACACAGGTGCACTCCTGCACACACCCCCAGGTACATGCACACACACTCACACACAGGTGTATGTGTACACATAGCAGGAGAGAAGACCCATTCTGCCTGCCTGGTGTGCCGTCTTAGGCTGTGTGTCTGGGCACTTCCCTGGCCTCCTCCACGTGGGCCCTCAGGGACTGCTGCTCTGTGCTGCTCTCTGGCCAGGGCCCCTCAGGCCTCAGGAAGGACACCACTTCCATCAGATGGCCAGCCGGCTCTCCAGGGGTGAGCAAAACCTGGGCCAGGGGTTTGCAGGGCTGGGGGTGTGGGGGGAGGGGTGTGGGGGAGGGGTTTGGGGGGAGGGGGTGGGAGGGTTGATCCCCACTTTTGGTGTCCCCACATGACTCTCCGTGAACCGACCTGAGGTCTTTATCCTGTGTTTTCTGAGCATCAAAGTGGCCTTTGGGGGATGGTGGAATCGGTCCACTCAGAGCCTTTCAAGGGCCTCGCAGTTTGGGACTTTCGTGCCAGGACGCCCAGGAGTTGGGTGTCTGACGGATAGGCGAGTGGCAGGGAGGTGGGCGGGCTTGGGCGGAGCCGGGGAGTGCTCCCCGCTGGTGGGTGAGGGGCTCCTGGGGGCCTCAGCTCCTCTTCAACCCCTCCCCCGCTCTGCGAGGTTGGGGTCTGTCCAGCAGGACCGGGGGCGCGCTGGAGGGGGAGGGTGATTCCCGCCAGCAAGTGTACTTCTTGGGCGACCCTCAGCCGGTTCCTTCTACATTGACCTTCCCTGGGCCGGGGCTGAGCTGGTGGCTGCTCCTGGCTCACCTCGAAGGGGCTTGGAGACCCCCACTGATGGCGCCCGGTGCCCAGCCCCCTGGGAAGGGGCTGCAGGAGGGCTCAGAGCTGGTGGGGGGTGCAGAGGGGACTGAGGACTGTGTCCCAGTCCCTGGCGATGTGAGACCCGTCGGCGATGCGGCGGAAGAGGCTGGGCCTGAGAAGGGGCTGCAGAACCGGGGTTGGTGGGCCAGCTTGGACATGGGACATCAGGGCTGGGGGCTCCAGGAGCCCGTGCCCTGCTGTCTATGCCGTGCAACTTGGTGGCAGGTGTTGGGGGCACCCAGAAGGTGCTGCCCTCGTAGCACCCCCAGACCCTTTGCCTCAAGACCAAGGTCACTGCCAACCTACCCCACCCCTCCCCTCGCAGAAGGTCTCCAGGGAGGGTCTAGGGGAAGTGCCGCATCTCATTGGGTCCTGCTGCCTCAGGGCCCAGGTGGCTTTTCTGGGGCTCATTAGAGGCTTTGCCCCCCCGCAGCCCTGTCTTCTGGAGGATGCTAATTGGCATTCTCACCAGCGGGACTCAGAGCAATTTGCAGGGTCCACGGAGGGACTGTGAGGGGGGAATATGATGTAAGGGGTGGGACAAATAGAGCCCGGCCTGTCACCTGCCCTCCAGGTGTCCTGGCCCTGGTGACGCCTGAGACTGGCTCCCAGTCTCAAGGCCCTTCCCTGAGGTCCAAAGGGGAGGGGCTGCTACCCTATAGCAATCGTTTTATTTCCTCTCCATGCAGAGCATTTATTTATTCGTTGGTATAAAATAAGGTAAGGGACTCTTGTAAACCGGCTCTCCACTCAAGACCTACACAGTGGCTAATAAGTGACCTTAGTTCCTCCCCTCTGCCACCCCTCCTTCCCTCTCAGAGGGACCACTCACGGGGGTTCCCCTGCTGCCTAAAGCATTTTAATTATAGATAACACATTGCTTAGTTTTGCTCGTATTCAAACGTCATAACAAAGGGTATCATGCTACATGCTGTCTTCTGGGTCTTGCTTTTTTTGTTGCGAAGATTCTTACTCTTTGTGGCAGCTGTACTGCGTTCATTCTGACACCTGCGCAGTAACATTCTATCGTGTCTGCCTCACGATCTGTGCATTTGTTCTTTGTGCCCAGCTCCTGAGTGTGGGGCGCCAGGGTTTCTCTTGCAGCCACCCCTATGAATGGGAGTGCTGGGGCTGAACTTCACATGCAACTGCAAGAAAATGCCAAGTTCTTTCCTCAAAGTGGCTGTAGTGATTACACTCCTACCATTGAACTACATCCTCTACAACAGATGGTGTTGGTGGATTTCCTAATATTTGCCAATTTGGAGGCTAAAAATAGCATCTCACTGTGAATCGTCTTTCGCTGCTTCTCTTGCTATGGTTAGTGTCAGTGAATGTTTCTGCTTCTGTGAGATGCCTGTGTGTGTGAGTGTGTGTGTGTGTGTGTGTGTCTTTTGCCCATTTCTCTCCATGGTGCCACCTTTTACTTATTGATTTGCAGGAGTTCTCTTTATATCCTTTTCTAAATTTCTTTATTGAGGTGTAATTTACACAGTGAAGTGCACAGACCTTAAGTGTTAAGTTTGATGAGTTTTGACGAATGCACACACGCATGGAACCCGCACCTCATCAAGATACCCCAGAAGCATGCTCCTTCCCAGTCAACCCTTAATCCCCCACTTCGAGGCAGCCACTGTTCTGATTCTTTTCTTCATAGATTAATTCTGTTTCTTTCTAGAATGTAAGAGAAACGGAACCACCCAATATCCCCTCTTTTGTCTCTGGCTTCTGTCAGCATGTTTTTGAGGCATGTCCAGGGTGTCTGTGCCCGTTCCACTATATAGATAGACCATGGTTGTCTGGAAGAGTGTTATTTAATTTCCAAATATTTGGAAATTTTCTGGAGATATTTCTCCAGATATTTTAATTTCATTGTAATCAGAGCGCATCCTTTGCATAATTTTGCATCTTTTAGAGTTTGAGATTTATTTAATGCTCTAGAATATGGGCCTGTATTGGGAAGTGATCTGTGTTCATGGGTCTATTTCTGGATCCTGTTCTGTTCCATTTGTCCCTAAGCTCGTCCTCTCTGACGCCGCACTGCCTCGATTACGGCAGCTTTATAGGCTTGAAGCAGCTGGTGCGAGCGCTCTGACTGTTCTCGTTCTTCAAAGTAGCTCTGGCTCTTTTAGTTCCTTAGCTTTTCCATAAATTTTAGATTCAGCTACTTGATTTCTATGAAAAAAATTCTGTTGTAATTTTTATTGGAATTGCATTGAATCTAGATCAGTTTGGGGAGAATTAACATCTTTACAATATTGAATCTTCCAATACATGAACATGGTCTATCTCTTCATTTTTTGGTTCATCTTTGATTTACATCATTAGTGTTTTTTAATTTTTACCATGTTTTGCAAATATCTTTCCCCAGGTTATAGCTTTTCTCAGTTCCTTTAAGATGTCTTTTGATGAACAGAGTTCTTAATTTTTCAGTTATTTTAGAACAGTTTTAGATTTGCAGAAAAGTTGCAAATTTAGTACAGACAGTTCCCGTACACCCCATACCCAATTTCCCCTAATGCTAATATCTTACATTAGTGTGGGGTATGTTTGTTACAATTCATGAACCAATATTGATACATTATTATCAACTAAAGTCCATACTTTAGTTGGATTTCCTTAGTTTTTACCCAGTGTTCTTTTCCTGTCCCAGGATCCCATCCAGAACACAACTTTACATTTAGTTGTCATGCTTCCTTAGTTCCTCTTGGCTGTGAGTTTCTCATACTTTTCTTTTTTTTTGACAGTTTTGAGGAGTTTGGGTTATCTCTTTTATAGGATGTCCCCAAATTAGGGTTTGTCTCATGTTTTTCTCATGATTAGACTGGGGTTAAGGATCTTTGGGGGGAAGACTACAGAGATAAAGTGTCCTTCTCATCATGTCGTATCAGAGGTCCATACTGTCAACAAGGATCGTCAGTGCTGGTGCTGACCTTGATCACCTGGCTGAGGCCGTGTGTCATCTTTCCTGTCAGGTTACCCACCAGCCTTCCACACTGTCCTCTCTGGAAGGAGATGATTACATCAGCTCACACTTAAGGAGGGGGGGGGGGGGCGGCGGTCACGCTCTCCCTCCTTGAGAAAGGAATATAGACCTAAATCACTTGCAGTTCTTTTGCATGGAAGATTGTCTTTTCTCCTCATTTCTTTATTTATCCAATCAGTCCTTTATATCAGTACAGACTCATGGATTTTATTTCATACTTTGGGTTATAACCTGATGCTATGCTAATTATTTTGTTGCTCGAACCATCCCAGCTTTTGTCACTGGGAGCTCTCAGATGATTCCTGGGCCCCTTGGACACGCCCCATCATTTTGGCTTTTCTTTTGAATACTTACTTTCTGGTGCTGAGATGCCCCAGGCTCATCCTGCACATTTCCTGCTATACCTGGAATCAGCCATTTTCCCAAGGAGCCCTGGTACCTTTTATTATACGATGATATTAGAAACCAACCTCTGGGGACTTCCCTGGTGGTCCAGTGGTTAGCACTCCGAGCTTCCACTGCAGGGGGCACAGGTTCGATCCCTGGTCAGGGAATTAAGATCTCTTGTGCCACGAGGCATGGCCAAAAAAAAAAAAAAAAAAAGAAAGCAACCTCTGGGTGCCAGCAGTGCCTGTCGCTACTAGGATACTGTTATCTCTAGGCCCCCTTGCCTGACAGAGCAAGGAGACCTGTGTGTACAGTAACCTGTGTGCACACACTTCCACACGTATTTCTGTATGTAACACCTGTATCTGTGCTAAGCCAAACAGGAGACCTTACTGATGTCTCCAGCTCTGATCCGTCACCACATGGACCATTCCATCCTCCGTGCTGTGCTTATCTGTAGATGTCCACTCCGACAGTGAAACCCCTGGCTCCCACTGCCCATCATCCATTAACTTAATTGTCCAATTCCAGTTACATTCCAATTACATGCAAAGTGGTGGTAGAATTGTTAACCTGTACTCTGTTAGGAAAAATCTTTGTCAACTAGAGCACAGTGCTGTGTAGTTTCTCCTGCCATTGGTCTTACAGACTCCACTCATTTCCACGGTTACTTAGACTAGCACCTTTACACCCCACGTCCTGCAGTGAGGTTTTTCTTGCATTCCTTATACAGTTCAATTGTTTGCCACCTTCTGCATTCCATCTAGAGTCCCCGAGCCTCCTAAATGATTTTTTTTAAAGTTTATATACATTGAAGTTCACGTTTTGTACAGTAGAGTTCTGTGGGTTTTAACAAGTATCAATATCATGTATCCACCATTACACTATCACAGAAGAGTTTCGCTGCCTTAAAATCCTCTGAACCTCACCTGTTAAACCCTCTCTCCTCCCCCTGGCCCTTTGGCACTTACTGACCTTTACTGTCTCCACAGCTTTGCCTTTTCCAGAATGTTATAAAATTGGACTCACACGGTGTGTAGCCTCTTCAGACTGGTGTCGTTCAGTTAGCAATGTACCTTTAAGATTCAGCCATGTCTTTTCGTGGCTCGATCGCTCATTCCTTTTTAGTGCTAAATGACATTCCACTGGATGGAATTAGCACTAAGTGGACCACAGTTTATTATTTGCTCACCTATTGAAGGGCATCTTGGTTGCTCCCAGTTTTGGGTGGTTATGGGTAAAGCTGCTGTAAACACTGGCATGCGGGTTTTTTCGTGGGCATAAATTTTCAGATCAGTTGGGCAAATACCTAGGAGTGTGACTGCTAGATCACATGGCAAGACTACATTTAGCTGTTAGGAAGCTGCCTAACTATCTTCCACAGTGGCTTTTTCATTTGCTTTCCCGCCAGCAATGAAGCAGAGTCCTTTTGCTCCACATCCTTGCCAGCATTGTGCATTGTCAGGCTTTTGGATTCTAGCTGTTCTTATAGGTGAGTAGTGGTATCTCCTTTTTAAAAAATTTATTTATTTATTTATTTGGCTGTGCTGTGGGGCATGTGGGATCTTAGTTTCCTGACCAGGGATCGAACCCATGTCCCCTGCAGTGGAAGCGCGGAGTCTTAACCACTGGACCTCCAGGGAAATCCCTGCTTTTTTTTTTTTTTTTGCGATACGCGGGCCTCTCACTGTTGTGGCCTCTCCTGTTGCGGAGCACAGGCTCCGGACGCGCAGGCTCAGCGGCCATGGCTCACGGGCCCAGCCGCTCTGCGGCATGTGGGATCTTCCCGGACCGGGGCACGAACCCGTGTCCCCTGCATCGGCAGGCGGACTCTCAACCACTGCGCCACCAGGGAAGCCCATCCCTGCTTATTTTGATTTGCAATTTTCTAGTAAATTTTGTTGACCATCTTATCATAGGCTTCTTTTTCATCTGTATATCTTCTCTGGTGAGGTGTTAAAGGTCATAATTTTAACACAGTCAAAATTTTCAATATTTATTTTTTTACAATTCACATTCTTTTTTTTTAATAAATTTATTTTATTTTTTTAAATTTAGTTCTGGCTGTGTTGGGTCTTCGTTGCATTGTGAGGGCTTCTCTTGTTTTGGAGCATATGGGCTCTAGGCTCATGGGCTTCAGTAGTTGTGGCTCGTGGGCTGTAGAGCACAGGCTCAGTAGTTGTGGCACATGGGCGGAGTTGCTCTGCGGCATGTGGGATCTTCCCGGATCAGGGATCGAACCTGTGTCCCCTGCACTGGCAGGCGGATTCTTAACCACTGCACCATCAGGGAAGTCCCTGATTCACATGCTTTTAAAGGACATTCTTGGCTACTCTGAGGTTAGAATAATGTTCATCTATATATTCATGGAAATATTTTAAGTATTTCCTTCTTTTCTTTTTCCTTTTTAAAAATTGAAGTGAAATTCACATAACATAAAATGAACCAGTCAGCTCCCAATTTGCTTTCTGTCTGTGGATTTACCTATCCTAGATATTTCATATAAATGACATCAATATGATATGTAACATTTTGTGTCTGGCTTCTTTCATTTAGCTTAATGTTTTCAAGCTTCATCCATGTTGCAGCCTGAATCAATACTTCATTCCTTTTTATGACTGGATAATATTCCTAAGTATATACCAACTTTTCTTTCTTTATCCATCTCTTAGGGTTGTTTCTACCTTTTGGCAATATGTGAATAGTGCTGCTACGGACCTTCGTGTACAAGTATTTGCTTGAGTACCAGTTTTCAATTCTCTTGCACCAGAAAGTGATTCAGTTATACATACATATACATACATACATATATATATTCCTTTTCAGATTCTTTCCCATTATAGGTTATTACAATATATTGAATATAGTTCCCTGTGCTATACAGTAGGTCCTTGTTGTTTATGTATTTTATATATACTAGTGTGTATCTGTTAATCCCAAACTCTTTGGTAACTATAAGTTTATTCTCTATGTCTGTGAGTCTATTTCTGTTTTGTAAATAAGTTTGTATCATTTTTTTAGATTCCACATATAATTGATAACATATGATATTTGTCTTTCTCTTTCTGACTTACTTCACTTAGAATGATCATCTCTAGGTCCATCCATGTTGCTGCAAATGGCATTATTTCATTCTTTTTTATGGTTGAGTAATATTCCATTGTATATATATACCACATTTTCTTTATCCATTCATCTGTCGATGGACATTTAGGTTGCTTCCATGTCTAGGCTATTGTAAATAATGCTGCTATGAACATTGGTGTGTGTGTATTTTTTAGAATTGGTGTTTTCACTTTCTTTGGCTATGTACTTAGGAGTGGAATTTCTGAATCATATGGTAGTTCTAATTTTAATTTTTTTGAGGAAACTCCATACTGTTTTCCAAAGTGGTTAATATCATTTGCAAATATTTTTCTCCCATTCACTAGGTTGTCTTTTCATTTAGTTGATGGTTTTCTTTGCTGTGCATACAATGGAATATTATTCAGTCTTAAAAAAGAAGGAAATCCTGCTATATGTGACAATATGGATGAACCTGGAAGACATGCTCGGTGAAATAAGCCAGGCACAGAAGGATGAATGCTGCGTGACTCCACATATACGAGGCATCAACAGAGTCAAACTCATAGAAACAGAGGAGGATGGAGGCTGCCAGGAGCTGCGGGAGGGGAAAGGGGAGCTGTGTTTCAATGGGTATAAAGTTTCTGTCATGCAAGGTACGTTCTGGAGCTCTGCTGAACACATGGTGCTTATAGTTAACAATAGTGTGTTTGCACCTTAATTTTGAAGAATGGGACAGTGGTGTGGTGATGGGGCCTGGCGTAGCCTTGTGTTCCCGTGCTGCACAATCCCGAGAGTGGATAGGAACCTTCCCCTCCCCCCAGAGCATGGACTTTATTGTCCAGCTAGTTGCCAGGTGTTTAATGAGGCCCAGCTCTTGTCCTAGGTACACCATACTAGGTGTAGATACAGCAGTAGGAGACACAGTCCCTGTCCATTTGAGGCATATGATCCAAGTATTTCTCAGGAGTTACTCCATGGTCAGAAATAAAATCTGGACTTAGCTGCCTGTATTGCAAGGAACATTCTTTAAAGTCAACATTTTAAGGAAAAACATTACACCCTGCACTTACATAGTAGGAAATTTCTTCCTGGTAACATCAGCTTCATCATTATCAATAAACAAGGTTTACTTTTGTTAAAATTCACCTTACATTCCCCTCCTCTGTAATTTGAAAAAAGATTTTTTAAAAATTAATTAATTAAGTTTTGGCTGCATTGGGTCTTCATTGCTGCATGTGGGCTTTCTCTAGTTGCAGTGAGCAGGGGCTACTCTTCGTTGCAGTGCACAGGCTTCTCACTGCACTGGCTTCTCTTGTTGTAGAGCGCGGGCTCTAGGTGCATGGGCTCAGTAGTTGTGGTGCACAGGCTTTGTTGCTTCATGGCATGTGGGATCTTCCTGGACCAGGGCTCGAACCCGTGTCCTCTGCATTGGCAGGCGGATTCTTAACCACTGTGCCACCAGGGAAGTCCCATAAAGATTTTTTGAAAAGGGAATTTTATGAGGTTAAGCAGTGGAAGGAAGGGCTTAGGTATAAATTTGGCCAACAGTTGTCTGGGCAAAGGAGCTCTAGGGTGTTGAGTGAACCCAGCTCATCTCCAGGCCATTTTTACTAATATTTTGAGGACAACAGAAAGCCCCTGAGGGTGGATGGGAACCAGTAAGCATGCAAAGGTGGGGGGCTGTCCCTCCTGTAACCACGGTACGTCCTGTAAGACGCTGTCTGAGCTTGGCCCTGCTGGTCCTGAAGAAGCAAGCCACCATCATGAGAAGGCCTGTGGGAAGGCCCCAGGGCAGGGCACGGCGGTGGCCTCTCCGGCCGAGAGCAGCCAGAAAGAAAATGGGACCTCAGTCCCACAGCTGCAGGGAGACAAATTCTGCCTGAGGGTCGGCCCTGGTCAAGCCTCAGATGAGAACTCAGCCCACCTGACTGCAGCCTGGGGCCCTGAGCAGGACCCAGCTCAGCTGTGCTTAGGCCGGCGTCCCACAGAGACCATGAGATAACAAATGTGTGTTGTTTTGAGCCACTAGGTTTGTGGTGATTCGTTGCTCAGCGTAGAAGAACATAGGTGGTGAAGGAAAGGGTGGTGTAAGATTGAAAATATTTTTAGAATCAGCAGTTACCTGAAAGGCGTTCCTGTGTCTGCTTTAGCAGGTCTTCACTGAGAGTAACCTGAGACCTACAGCACCTCTCCAGGTCCACACAGGTGCTGTTGATCAGGACCAGGGGAGGAGCACAGCAGCCAGAGCTGGCGGGGCAGAAGAGAGCCCCCTCAGGAGTCTCCTTTGAGGTCTGTGCCAGTCGGTCCTGAATGTCTGTACAAGTGGCAAATCCCCGTATCATCAATTTTATTGATGCTCTCAAAGAACCAGCATTTGTTTTCATTGATTTTCTCTCTTTTTTTTCTGTGTTCCATTTCACTGATTTCTGCTCTGATCTTTATTATTTCCTTTATTCTGCTTATTTTTGTGCTTAGTTTATTATTATATTTCTAGTTTCTTAATATGGAAGCTGATATCATTGATTTAAGGTCTTTCTTCTTTTCTAACATAGGTGTTTGATGCTATGAATTTCCCTGAGTACTGCTCTAGGAGAATTCCACAATTTTTGACATGTTGTGTTTTTATATTCATTAAAAACAGTTTCTTATTTCTCTTGATTTCTCATTTAACTAACAAGTTATTTAGAAGTGTACTGTTTCCAAATATTTGGAGACTTCCCAGGTATCTTATTCTTTTATTGGTTTCTATTTTAATTCTATTATGATCAGAAACATACACTGCATCACTTTCAATTCTTTTAAATTTGAGACTTGTTTTACAGCCTAGAATAAGGGTCTATCTTGGTAAGTGTTCCATGTGCACTTGAAAAGCATGTATTCTTCTGTGTCTTGTGGCGTGTCCTCTAAGTGTCAAGTAGGTCAAGTTGATGGCTGTTCAGTCTACTGTGTCCTCCCGCTTCTGCTTGTTCTGCCCCCTTGGGTTTCGTAAATACAGTTGTTTTGTCCAGTTTCTCCTGAGTCCTATGCTGGCAGCTGCTCGTCATCTTTCACTTCTTCACGCGCCTTCTCACCTTTGATTTTGTGTGGAAGATGATATTTGAAGCAATATTTGAAGGAATGACTGGCATTACTCTGATGTAATCTCTCCCTCCAGGAGGGATTTTTGTTGGTTTTTACTTCCTCCAGACACATGGTGGTGCTGGTTGTTTAGAATCCTGTGACTCCAAGTTCAAAGTCTGCACTTTCATGCTCTGAGGATTCTCGACTTGTGGTTGTCCTGGGCCCCGGGGAGCTGGATCTTGCCTGAGTCACCCTCGTTCCCAGGGTGCAGCCCCTCCCTAGGCAGGCTGTGGGTTTGCAGGGTCACCGTGTTTGTGGGGTCTGTAGGGCCTCAGCTGGCCTGAGGGCCGAGTCTGGGCTCCCCGCACTAGACACCGGTGGTCTTTGTTCCTCAGCCTGGCAATTTCTCACTGACTCTTGTCCCTTTGCTGCTTTTAGGATTAAAACGTGGTTCACTCCCCTTATCTGGTTGTCCTCCAGGAAAAGGTTAATCTGAAGTGCTCAGTTCTCCAGCCTGGGTCTGGAGCTCCCCATGGTTTCCTCTGCGTCTCTGGTACTCTTGCTTAGATATCAGATCTCCGGGCCAATTCCCTGATTTTGAAACGTGTTTGGTAACCATTTTGCATGTCAATTCTTGCCTTGATTTTCTGAACGATTTCTTCAATTCACTTCTAATCCTTACTGAAATTTTATTTCTGCCATCATATTTCCAGTTTGCAAGTTTCTCCCTCTCACTCTCTCTCTCTTTTTAAAAAGTTTTTATTGTTTCAACAACGCAATCCATGTTTTCTCATGTCCGAGGATATTCACAAAATTCTTTCCCTTTGAGCTCTGCTTCCTCTGACTTCCAGTCCTTCCTTAGTTTCGCTCCATCTTGCCTGCTAGAGGCTCTCATCAGATGTCCGGTGACCCTCAGCTCTCAGCCTGCACTGGAGAGGCCCAAAATGGTGACTATACCCAGGAAGGGTCACTGGGCTGGGGCCCCCACTGTCAGTGTCCTTGGTTCTGGGCATTCGTGGGAAGTTTTCTCAGAGAAGTTCCATCCAAGCTCCCATCTGGAGGGACCAGGGTGCAGGACTGGGGTCTCGCCATCAGATATCTGGGTGTGTCCTCCCTGGGCCTCTGTCTCTGGAGTTCTGGGCACGTGTCACCACCAGAGCAGCTGCTCTGCTCCCTCCTGTTGGGTCCCTACCCCCTGCCCCACGTCAGCCTGTTGCTCAGTCCCAAGAACGGGCCCTCCAGACATCCTAGTGAGCTTCCAGGTCTCCAAAGCCCATTTAAAAGTCAGTCCAGGGACTTCCCTGGTGGTCCAGTTGTTAGGACTCCACACTTCCGCTGCAGGGGTCGCGGCTTCGATCCCTGGTTGGGGAACTAAGATCCCACATGCCACATGGCGCGGGCAAAATAAAAGTCAGTCCACTCATTTGTAGTGTGGCTGGGGCTTTAGCTTTTTGTCTGCACTGTACGGGACTCAGAACGGGGCCCTGTGTGGGTCCACACACTTGACGTTGAAGTAACACCCAGTCGAGAGCCGGCTGCCCAGCGAGGGCGGGAGGGGAGCCGACTTCTGTCTTTAGGACCTGGTCCTTTCAAGCCCGTGAAGACAATTCCTTGTAACAGGGGAGATGCTGCCGCCAGCCCTGGCCCCTGCTGGAACAGGCTGCATCACGTGTGCAGGATGTATCTGGAGAACAGAAACCTCAGCCTCGTATCTCTGCCCTTGTTTCGTGTCTGCTCCAGGTGGCAGGAACCCCCCGTTTTCATCCTGCAAAGACTTTAGGAGGTAGCAGGGCCCCGAGCTCCAGGGTGTGGGCTCTGGGATGGGCAGCTCGGGTTCAAACCCTGCCCTCCCCCGGCCACCTGAGCCTTGGACAGGACAGCTGCCCTCCCCGTGCCTCTGCTCTCTCAGCTGTCCCGTGGGGTCATGGCGGGACCCTGGCTGAGCTCACCTGCTACAGACCCTGGGGTGCCTGGTGGCTACAGGGGCGGCGGCGACTCCAGGCAGAAGAGGGAGCCTCGTCAGACCTCGGTGGTGTGGTGTCAGCCGCCGGTGTGGCCAGGGCCTGGGTACCACTACCCCGGGCCCCCGTCTCCACTCTCCCACTATGGCTCCTGACAGCCATGTCTGCTCTGAGCTGCCGCTGACTGGCTGTGGGACTTGGAACAGAGATCTGTACTCACCCAGCTCCTGTTTCTCAGTCTGAAAGATGGAGCAGAAGGGCCACTTCTTTGATGGGGTGGGAGGTGGGCCTGAGTTCTCATCACACAGATGCACGGGGACAAACCACAAGGTCCCCGTCTTGCACCACCATGTACCAGTCAACACACGTGCTCCCCAAACCCAACACGAGCGCAAGAGCCACACACCGTCCCCCAGACTTAGATTCACTCACAGGTGCCTGCACCCTCCGCGCCCAGCCCACAGGCCCCCGAGCAGAGCAGGCATTCACGTGGACACCACACCCCCAGGCAGATGAAGACACAGAGACAGCAGTGCCCGTGCCCCAGAGAGACACTCAGACGTCCCTGTACACATGCCACCTGCACAGAAACACATGGACAAACACGGCTCTGACACAAGGGTAAACCCCCTACCACAGACACGCTGCCCTGCACACGGGGGCCAGTCAAGACACGTACCCGGCTGCCGACAGCCCTGGCTGGCTCGCTGCCCATTGTTGCGGGAATGGGCACACACAGGCATGCGCTTGGACACGGGAACACAGGCACACACACCCTCAGCTCCACCTGTGCTAAGACTGATGCAGTCTCAGGCGGTGGGGCTGGGTTCAAGCCCCAGCCCTGCCCACGCTCTGCTCACCTGTCATGGGGCGCCCGATAGTTCTCTGGGGCAGGGGCCTGGCAGACGCGGCTCCTTACCTGGTCCCGAGCGCTCAGAGGGACTCAGGTTCTGCACGGGTGTTCGGTTGGGTCAGGGCAGGCAGAGGCTGACCAAGGGCTCCTGCAGCGTGTGTCCTGCTGACAGCTGAACCCAGCTCTGGACGCCGGGCCTGCGGATCTCCCCATCCCAGGACTGTTGCATTCCCTGCGACCATCCAGGTGCATCCCTCCCAGGATAGAGCTCTGAGGATGCAAAAGGGATGAGCCTGGCTGCAGAGATTCCCTCCACAGTAAAGAGACCGTCTCGGGGGAGACAGCAGCCGATGCCTGAGATGGAAGCAGGCGCCTCCTCTGAGGTCCCTGTTTCACAGCAACGGGAGTCTGGTCTTCTGGGAAAGCACAGCGGACCACAGCCTCCTCTGCGCGGGGAGAGCGGCCGGGGGCTGGGCAGCCTGGGAGCCCACACCACCCACCTCCCAGCCCACGAGTGTGTTTCCAAAGGATAACCGAGTCTTAAATGGGAGGCTGACGTCGATCCTCAGTCACTTTCTTCTCACATGAAAAGAGCCCACAGAAGGGAGAGGCAGGCGGAGGAGGACAGGGCCAGGCTCCTCCCCCTCCAGCCCCCACCCGTCCCAGGGGCCGGTGCACAAGACACCCACATGGCCCGCAGCTCCTCCTGGGAGGCCAGGCCTCCGCCCAGGGGCCCTCCTGTCCTGTGATTAGCTCTGTCAGCCAGAGTGGCGGGAATCAGAGCCCAGAGGGAAACCTGCCCTCCCCCGCTGTCCTTGTGGGACCACAGCCGGTGTGACAGAGGTAGGATGTGGGTGCAGGTGGACACCCTGCCATCCAGCGGCCGCTCAATGCAGCAGAGGGGGCTCGGGTAGAAACCACTGCCCACCCCTGGCCAGAGCTGGGGGCACAGGAGCGGCCTGGGCGGTGCCCCAGACCCTGCTGTCCTGGGTGGGCTCCACGCTGCCTGCTCCGAGTGGCTGGGGCTCCCGGCCGGCCGCATGGTCACCTACCTCCTTGCTCTCCGGTGGTCCACTGTGAGGGTCACATGAGGTAGACGGAGAAACCCTTTAGTGAGGCACGAAGGGGTGTCGGCCCTAGGACCCTCTGCCCAGGAACCGGCAAGGGGCCTCGGCCGCTTCCTGGCATGTGGGGCGCAGACCTCGCCATCAGTCTCTGTGCTGAATCAGAGAAGGGGTCCCACAGGCTGCAGGGGACAGCTTACCAGCCCCTTAAAGGTGGGAGAGGGCCCTGCTGCCACTCCAGCTGCCCCGCTGGTCCCGGGTGGGGGTAGCTTGGCTGTGTGTCCCTCTGCCCCGAAGTCATTTTACAGAAGTCCTTTACTCCTTCATCGTTCAGAGGCGTTTGCTGGGTCCTCACTGGTCTCCGCCTGGGCTCTCAACTTCAGATGCAGCAGTGAACAGACAAGTTCCTGCCACGTGGAGCTGGGGTGCTGGAGGAGGTGGATGGCAGGCTGGTGAGCAGGCCCTCCTGGGGCCCACGGGTGGTGACGCGTGCTGGGTGCAGGGCAGGGCTGTGGCTCGTGCCGACTCCTGAGGGCCCAGGGGCACTGGAGATAGCAGGGGAAGGAGGGCCAGGCAGAGCCAATGGTGACTGCAAAGGCCTCAGGGTGCTGCGGCGTGGGCTACGTGCTGGGGAGGGGCCTGGGGCAGAACCACGGCCGAGCTCAGAGGTGGGCGCCCCTCAGTGGTCAGTGCACATAGCCTGCTGGTGTCCTCGGCGCTTGGCTTTCTCAGGGAGAGGTGCAGGGCTCTGACCAGAGCGGGGCCAGATGCATCTTTGCTTTAAAGGAACGAAGCGCCAGGGTCTGGTCTGGGGCTGTGGCTGCAGGTTGTAGCGTGCACTCTAGTGTGACTGTGGTGGGTCAGTCACATCCACCACAGGATGGATTCTGGGGCAGAGCCCGTGGGCTTGGCTGATGGATTGGACGTAGGTGTGGAAGAGCCAGGAGTCCCAGGCTCTGGGAGCCATGGGATTGAGGGGTTCGGTGGAAGTCAGAAGTAAGTTTTCTGTATGCTTATTTGGAGATGAAAGGACAGTCAGGTGGAGACGTGGACGTGTGAGACTGGAGTCCAGAGCTGGGCTGGGGGTGGAGGTGAGCCTTCGGGGGTCTGTCTGGGCACGATGGCATTTCCTCACGAGGCTGAGAAGAGGCCCAAGGCCTGGGGCCTCCCACGGCCGAGGGTGTGGGATGGGAAAGGAGCCTGGAGCGGGCAGGTTGGCGGGGAGGAGTGAGCCCCGGCGAGGCTGGTGAGGTTGGTCTTCTTTAGCTGTTGATGATGTCCTTAACCTCGCCTGGTCCACCATGTTCTCAGGATGCCAGAGCTAATGTATTCAGGATGTAATTTTAAGTGATTGAGAACGTGGCCAGCCCTGATGACCACGGGAGGACGCTGAGACGTGGTGGTGGTGTGGGTGGTGTGTCCACTCTCACTCTCTTCCTGCTGGGCCTGGGCGCAGCGGCGCAGCTGTGGGCTCCGGTGCAGGGCCGCCCACCCTGTGGACCTCTGTCTGCAGCACCGTGGCCTCAGCCTCCCCCGGCTCTGCCTGCGGCAGAGAGGCCGCTAGAACCTTCCAGGGGGTGTGGCTCCGGCCCCACGTGAGCCTCCCTGGCCGCCCACCCGCGCCACTAGTCCGCTCAGGGCTTGCTCTCCTAGGGCAGGTCTCCCCACCGCTGCGCCTTCCTACCTTCCTGGGACCTGGCACCGCCGCGCACCCACAGAGACTCACAGGTCGGATGTCTCTCCCGGAGGCCTGTTTGGCACGGGCTGCCTCAGGCTGCAGAACTGCTGGGACTTCTCGCTTGTTTGTTGACGATTTTGGCTCACGGTTGGAGATTTTCTTCTCGGGAGCCCAGGCATCCGTGGACAGCCCTCTCGGCTCACGGCCGCTGGTTCAACCTCCACTTCCCAGGGCCCTGGACCCCACGCCTCGTCAGCCCCTCCGCACTGACACCCCGGCTTCCCACGGCCCACAGCTTCCGCTCTTGGCCTGCCTGTTTCTTGGGTCACTCCCACAGCACCCCTGGTCCCACCGCAGTGAGCGCTGCCCCCCTCTCCAGGGTTGGCACTCACCCACCCCCTGCAGAGCCCCCATCTCTGGCTCTGCAGCATGAGCTGCCTTCCCGGAAGGCTTCCTAAACTCTACCCCCAACCCCTTCTCGGAAAACAAGCCACAGGCTGGCCGGACTTCCTGCCTCCCCCAGAGACCTTATCTTTACCCAGTAGTTCCTGCGCCAGGGCACGCTGAGCTCTCCACCCCAGCCCCACACCTCCAGGGCCCTCGTCCATCTCGGCTCCTGGGTCTTCACCTCCTTTCCTTCCAGCATCAGCATGGAAATTGCCACCTCTGCCCCTTGGTAACCGGCACCCTCACTTCCTCACCCCACGGAGGCCTGCCTGGCCCCTGGAGGTGCCTGGTGGTGTCTGCGGGGAGGAGGGAATGTACTCCTAGACGCTGCTCTCTGCTTCCACCCCACGCTGCCCAGCTGGCCCTTGTAGGAGACCCCCGACCACCACGGACCGCGTCCAAAAGGGGCTGCTGAGGGCTGCTTCTAGTTGACTTGGATGATATTCCCAATCATTGGATTCCGTGTAAATTTTAGAATCATTCTGTCATCTAGTCCCCCTCCTTCAATAGTTTAATTCGGGAAAATTTTACATCTTTGCAAGACTGAGTCTTCTGTGAACTTGGTGCCTTTCCTTCCTTCCTTAAACTTTCCTTCAGTGTCACTCAGTTTTCTCATAAAGCCTCCACCTCTTTCATTAGAGTAATTCCTAGATATTTAATATTTTTGTTGCTTTTATAAAGTGTATCTAGTTAAAAGAATTCATTTTCTGTTTCTTCTCACATATAGAAAAACGAGTGACTTGTTTATTGACAAGTTATCCAGTTATCTCGATAAACTTTCTTCTGAGTTCTGCTAACCTATCTGCAGATTCTTCTGGATTTTCACATTCCCAGTGGCCTTGTCTGTGAGAATGACAGTTTCCAACACTTATGATTTTCTTCTTAATTTACTGCGCTGGCTAAGACCTCCAGGGCAAAGTCAGATAGAAATGGTGAGAGTAGCCTGTTTTTGATCTCAGAAGGTAGGACGTTGGCTGTGAGCTGTGTTCTGGTGACACTTCTTATCAGATTAAGGAAATTCCCTCCCACTTCTAGTTTACAAAGTCTTACCTTATTTATTTATTATCAAATGTATATTGAATGTTATATACTTTTTTTGCATCTCTGAAGATGACTGTGATTTTTCTCTCGTAGTATTTCAACGTGGGAGTTTACAGTGATTTTCTAACGTTAAACGGACATTGCGCTCCTGGAGAAAAGCCAGCTTGGACGTAATTAGTATGTTTTGCACACATTGCTGATTCTGTTGCTTCTGGGCCTGGGGTTTTCTCTGTGGGAGGCTTTTCCTTCTTTAAACACAGCATTCTTGAGGTGTAATTGACACACTAAATAGCACACATAAAAAGCATACAGTTTGGTCAGTTTTGACGTATGTGCACACCCAGGAAACCCTCACCACGACCAAGAGAACATGCATTTCCACCAGCCCAGAGCTTCCTCCTCTCCGCCCCCGGCCCCTCCTCTCCAGGCAATACTGACCTGTTTTCTGTCCCTGTCAGTCAGTTTTATGTAAATGGAATCATGTCCCTGTGGCATGTAGTTCACCCTTTTTATTCTGTTGTATGGATTTGCCACATTTGCCTGTTGACAGCCATTTTTGTTGCTTGAGTTTTCGGCTGTTGTGAATAATGCAGCTATGAACGTTCCTGTACAAGACCTTTCATACGCACAGGCTTTAATTCCTCCTGGGTAACTACCTAGGAGTGAGATGGCGGGATCGCGTGGTGGGGTGTGTGTAACTCTCTGTGAAATGCCGCACCCTACCCGGGCGGCTGCATACCGTGAGCGCGGCTGCCCACGTCTTCACCGACGACACTCGGCGGTCTTTGAATTCCAGTCCTTCTGACAGGCCTGTAGGGGCTGCATTGTTGTTTTAATTTGAAATTCCCCAGAGGGTTATTTGCCATCCATGTTTCTTCTTTGGTGAAGTTCAAATACTTTGCCTATTAGATAGATCATTGGGTGATTTGCTTATCCTTGCGTATGAGGGTGCATTATATCTTCTGAATATCAGTCCTTTCTTAGATGTGTGCTTCTCAAGTATTTTCTCTCGGTCTGTCGTTTGTCCTTTGCGCTCTCTATTTCAAAGAAAAGTTTTAAATTTTGATGTAGTCCATTTATCTATTGGTTCTTTTATATTTTGTATTTTGGGGTCATATCTAAGAAATACTTGCATAATCCCAGGTCACAAAGGTTTTCTCCTATGTTTTCTTCTAGAAGTTTTATAATTTTAGATTTTACATTTAGGTCTATAATGCATTTTGAGTTAATTTTTGCATATGGTATGAGGTATGGATCAAAGTTCACTGTTTTCTACTGAGTTGCTTTGATAAAAGTCCATTGTCCATGTATTTGTGGATCTATTTCTGGTCTCCCTATTCAGTTCCATTCGTCTGTTTGTCTGTCTTAACACCAATGCATTTTCTTGATTCCTGTAGCTTTATAATAAATCTGAAATCAGGTGGTGTCAGTCCTCCAAATTTGTTACCCTTTTTCAAAGTTGTTTCGGCTCTTCTAGGTCCTTTGAATTTCCACATGAGTCTTAGGATAAACTTGTCGATTTCTACAGACAAGTTTTCGGGAGGCTTTGGATGAGATTACATTGAAACTAGAGATCAGTTTGGTGAGAAGCGATGTATTAATGATGTTGAGGCTTCTGGTCCAGGGACACAGAGCATCTCTTGATTTATTTAGGCCTTTAATTTGCCCCAGTGGTCATCTGTAGTTCGCAGTGTGTAGATCTTTCATGTCTTTTGCTGGGTATATTCCTAAGTAGTTCATATTCTTGGTGATGTTGTAATTGGTATTTCCAAGTTTTAATTTGCAATTGTTTGCTGCTAGTATATAGAAGTACAGTTGATGTTTTGTGCATTGATCTCATGTCATGCAACTCACTTAGTCCAAAAGCGAAGCAGAGACATGGAAGATACATAAAAGCTCCACACCAAACTTCTAGAGATGAAAACCAAATGTATGAGATGAAAGCTACACTGGATGGGACAATATATATATGTTAAATAAATTATAAGAAAAGATGAATATAATGTGTAAGGAGAGGAGAGTTTCAGTAAGATATGGATAAACAAGAAGAAAAACAAATGAAAATCTTCCAACTGAAAAATACAGTATTTGCTATTAAAATCATTAACAGAATTAGTATCAGATAGGATGTGAAGTAAAAGGATCATGTGAAATACTACAATATTAATTCAAGACACGCTGTCGTGGGTTTGGGATGCTTATTGTATAAGAAATATAGCTAAAAAGTCAATAGAAATAAAATGGAATACTAAAAAAGCAACCCAAAAGAAGTTAGGGGAAGAGGAACAAAGAGTAGCTGGACAAATAGAAAACAATGGTATGGCAGACTTACACTCTACCATGTCAATAATTGCGTTTAATGTAAATGGACCAAACAATCTAATTAAATGCTGGAATGGCTAAAAAAACAAGGCCACGTTTCATGCTATTTACAAGAGATGCACTTTAAATAGAATGACACAAATAGGATAAGAATTAAAAGATGAAAAATGTATACCATGCAAACAGTAAGTATATGAAAGCTGGTGTGGCCACACGAATGGCAGATAAAATAAACTTCAAGATGAGGCGTATTACTGAGATTGAGGAGCGTCTTGTAATGACAACAGGGCCACCTCTCCAGAACGACAAGGTAATCTTACAGGTGAATGCAGCTATTAACAGTTTCAAGATATGTGAAATGAAAATGGACATAACTAAGAGCAGAAATAGACAAAACCACATCATAGTTGGAGGACTTACTGTTCCATGCTCAACCATTGCTAGAAAATGAAGACAAAAGATTCAGTTATTCATAGGAAAAGTAAATAACACTACCAACCAAAATGACCCAATAAAAATTCATAAACCTTACACTGAACCCCTGCACAGTACATATTCTTTTCAAGAGCACATGGTATAGTCACCAATGTAGACTGTATGAGGCAATACAGTAACTGTCAATAAATTAGAAAGGATTGAAATCAGAAGAGTATATTCCCAGACCACACAGAATTAAACTAGAAATAAATAACAGAAATATATTTAGAAACTCCCCCAAATACTTGGAAATTAAGCAACATACTTCTCAGAAACCATGGGTCGAAGAAGAAATCACAAAAGAAATTAGAAAATATTTCAAATTGAGTGATGAGGAATACAAAACAAGCCTTTTGACAAAGATGACTTCACTGGTGAATTCTGTCAAACACTTAAGGAAAAATATTGCCAGTCACCCACAAATTGGAGACAAGGAATAGAGGAAAAGGAAATACTTCCCAAATCTTTCCATTAGGCCAGCATAGCCCTCAAAATCGACCAGGAAATACAGAGCAATATACTTTGTGAACATAATATTTGCAATTAGACTTTAGCAACATATAAAACAGATAATATAACATATAGAACAGATAATATAGCACAACCGGTTTCAGTTTGGCCCAGGAATGGAAGATCAGTTTAACATGCAAAAGTCACCACAGTAATCTTTGAAAAAACTGAACGTCGTTTTGAGCGCCAGAGTTGGAGGAGAGAAGACGGATTGCCAGCAAGTTGGGTCACTCCTCTGGGTGAGGGACAGCACGGCCCTGACAAGTTCATTCCCCCATGTTTCCTTGGGTGGTTAGCTAAGGTCCCCCCACTCAGTGGACGGGTGTGAAATTTAAAGAAGATTGTGTATTGTTAGACTGGGCCAGAGTCTCTCGTGAGACATGTGAGTCTCGTTCCCAAATCCCCCATCCCTGAGATAGGCTTTGGGTATATGTAAGCCAATAGCAGCCCCACCAGTGACCCTTTGGTCTCACAAGTTACCCTTTGGTCTCTGCCAGTTGG